GCCGCTGGCGGTTGTTGGAGTCGTGTGAGCTGTGTGAGCTGTGTGAGCTGTGTACGTCGTGTGAGTTGTGTGAGCTGCTTGAGCCGTGTGAGTCGTGTGAGCCGTGTGAGCTGTGTGAGCTGGGTAAGCCGTGTGAGCTGTGTAAGCCGTGTGAGCTGTGTCAGCCGGGTAAGCCGTGTGAGCTTTGTAAGCCGTGTGAGCTGTGTCAGTCGTGAGAGCTGTGTGAGTTGTGTGAGATGTGTGAGCCTTATGAGCCGTGTGAGCTGTGTGAGCTGCTTGAGCCGTGTGAGTTGTGTGAGGTGTGTGAGCCAGGTAAGCCGTGTGAGCTGTGTAAGCCGTATGATCTGTGTGAGCCGTGTGAGCTGTGTGAGTTGTGTGAGCTGTGAGCGGTGTAAGCTGTGTGAGCCGTGTGAGCCGTGAAAGCCGTGTGAGCTGTGTGAGCCGTGTGAGCCGTGTGAGCCGTATGAGCAGTGGAAGTAGTGTGAACCGTGTGAACCATATGAGCCCTGTGAACCGTGTGTGCGGTGTGAGCTGCGTGAACCGTATGAACCGTGTGATCCACGTGAGCCCTGTGAGCGGTATGAGCCGTGTGAGCCGTGTGACCTGTGTGAACTGTGTGAGCTGTGTGAGCCGTGTGAGCCGTATGGGCAGTAGGAGTAGTGTGAACCGTGTGAGCCGTGTGAGCCGTGTGAGCCGTATGAGCCGTGTGAGCTGTGCGAGCTGTGTGAGCTGTGTGAGCCCTGTGAGCCGTATGAGCCGTGTGAGCTGTGTGAGCCGTGTAAGCCTGGCGCGAACCTCATGGTTCAGTCCACCATATCCGTGTCAATCGCAGTACCCGAACTTCGTGTGCCCTGCCTGTCCGCCTCGTCTAGCCGTGTAGATGTAGTAGATGCATACACTTAACAACATGATAGATGAGAACATGTGTAGTAAACATGCTCTTCTATGCATCTATATTTGTAACCACATCTGTCAGCATCCTAAAGCGCATCTGCGTCAAAGCATGTCGTTGTAATGCACCGGTGTCGAAAGAAGCATGCATGAGCACCCGGTGATGGTGTTGTCCATTATCTTGTCATTCAAACGAGCCATTATATTCATAGCAGTATTGTTTAATGTGCGAGGATGCCTTCGGGAGGGCGTTGTGCGTGTGGTTTCCATACAACAGACATTGGGGAGGGCGACAGGGGTCGCCGCACCACCCACCCGGCCCTACGACCAACCTCTAACAGCGGCATGACGGTAACCTCCCGAATCCATTTGTACCTTCCGTAAAATCATTTGTCGCCTCCGTGCTAACAGGATTGGGCCGCCTCGGGCCCGCCCTCAGCTGTCTGGACGCCCAGCCGCGTCAAGGCTGTTGGCCCGCGGGCCCGTCCGCACCATACATGCATGCATACGCGGCTTCGCGGACGCTCTCCTCTCCCGAGATACCATCTCCTGGAGTATGTATAGCGCCGTGGCTTACTGCATAAACAATAGGTCGTAATTTTGCGTGATAGGCGGTTACAGCATGTACCTTGTAATGGCCTACGTTAAGCTCACTCTCTACAATGTCATGATTGTCTGCGACGAACAGGACGTTCGGCGAGGATTGAAGTAATTGTAACTTGACGGTGGCCACCAATTTGGGACGGCCTTTGTAAGACGCATTAGATTGGAGTGTTCCATGACCGATATCAAGAACAAAATCACGATATCCGGTGGAATATATCGACACTTATATTTTACTTATACACCGGGACAATTTCGTGCACGGTACGGCGTAAGGGCAGAACGTCCGGCCCTTACAAGCCAGTCATGTTTCAGTTATGAGGCAGATCTCGTCACTACGACGGCGTCACTGAACAGAGCCGTACGGTTCGTCACTTTACACGACCCTCCAGGCCGGTACTGCATGCAACGTATATGGCCTTGGCGTAAGCGTATAGAACTAAGCAGGCTCGGTACACAGTCGTCTGGTCCGTTACTGTACACAGCCGTCTGGTCCGTCACTGTACACAGCCGTCTGGTCCGTCACTGTACACAGCCGTCTGGTCCGTTACTGTACACAGCCGTCTGGTCCGTCACTGTGCACAGCCGTCTGGTCCGTCACTGTACACAGTCGTCTGGTTCGTCACTGTACACATTCGTCTGGTCCGTCACTGTACACATTCGTCTGGTCCGTCATTGTACATAGCCGTCTGGTTCGTTATTACACACAAGCGTCTGGTGCGTCACTGTACACAGCCGTCTGGTCCGTCGCTGTACACATCCGTCTGGTCCGTCACTGTGCACAGCCGTCTGGTCCGTCACTGTGCACAGCCGTCTGGTCCGTCACTGTACACAGCCGTCTGGTCCGTCATTATACACAGCTGCCTGATCCGTCACTGTACACAGCCGTCTGGTCCGCCACTGTGCATAGCCGTCTGGTCCGTCACTCTGCACAGCCGTCTGGTCCGTCACTGTACACAGCCGTCTGGTCCTTCATTGTACACAGCTGTCTGATCCGTCACTCTACACAGGCGTCTAATCCATCACTGCACACTGTACAATGTACAGTGAACGCAGCTCAGTCTACTGCTGCACTCTACGCCCTTCTCAGCGCTGTGCAATGTGCCCGGCTTGGCGATAACATGCATCTGTGCGGTGCACTGAAGCATTGTAGTTCATTGTACAGTGTACACAGCAGGCAACAGCAACATCGGTCGGCGCTCAGCAGCTGTTGCGGTAACAGGCGGCCGCCCGAACCGTGGCCCCTCTCCCCAGGGCAGTGCGGGGCAGAGAACAACGCACGCGCTCGCCTCGGCACCAAATGTGCACGAATGAGGCCTCGGGGAAGGACGAAACATGCGCTACTGACCGGGGCCCGGCGGCGGCCGGCGCTGCGGTGCGCCAGCTCCTGACTGCCGCCGCCGGCAGCGAGACAGGGGGCGGCGGCCTCAGACCCTGCCAGACGGGGCAGTCCCCGCAAGCACAGGGGCAGCCCTGCATCCCACTGGCCGGGCTCGTGTTACCCGCTCAGCGATTGTATGGAAATGCTTCCGTCAAATTTGGTAAACGACGTAACAGACCCGTCAAAGTGCGGACTCCTAGCGCTTTCGCTACGGCAAGGAGCATTCGTCGACTTTGATAAGTTTGCCCGGCGTGACATGTGGGCATGCATTGACGACAGCATCTTTGGGATGCGACGAGCCGAATTACATATCGTAGCTGTCATGACTGGAACTTCTGGCAGATCGCATTTCTTCCCCTTCAGTTTACATTTAGGTACACCACAGGAGACCCTGAGCTCATAAAAAATGGCTAAAACTATAATGAATGCAGTCTCGCATGCAGTGCTCCTTGGGCCGTCCTTCTACACGTCTCTGTGTGCCTTGATCTGCCCCTCCGCGCCGTTGAACGCCATGACGCTATGAGGATAGGAGCGGGTTGGACGGTCTCAGGAAGAAAGCGATGGGAGTGGGCACTTCAGCTTCCGGAGATGTTCACAGTGCTGTAAATAGCTCAGTTTCCTCATCTTTGGGTTAGGTTGTTCTCCTTCATCGTATCAGGATGAGATGATTTTTTTTCTTCAAAAATTTGGTTGCTATGCATTTGCTGACTGACTGCTATGCACTTGGAGGCTGCGGCTTTCGAAAAAAGGTCTTTCAGATGCTTGTGACACGGGATTATTCCGTAAGATAGATTACATCAGGTGCGTTCTTACCTGTCCGAGATCTATTGATCTGTTAGTATCGTTACTTTAACTGATCTCTTCGAATAGTTTCGACATGTCTGGGTTTGAGCACAGATGCTCGTTTGCGAGGCAGTCCTGTGCGCTTCCCATTTAGAACAAACAGGAGGCGTTTCATGTGTCACGTACTAGCGATATAACACCATAAGGGTTATAGTTATCCGGTGGTACCAGTGCATCGGACCAATGGTGTTCTCTATTAGTAGATGAACACAATTTCATGTAAGCTGTAAAATGGGCCTCTTTACAAGTAACTACAAAGAGCACAAGCATTCGTGCTTGATGATTGAAGTTTGCTTTTTAAAAAGTTCTCCGACAAATCGTAACGTAATTAAGTAAAAATCAACTGAGATTTTTCGTAACTTGTCTGATGTTGTCCATTCATATTACACAGAACATCAGTGATGTAGTTCATGATTCGGTTAGAGGCTCCCTCCCCTCTCCTCCACAACTCTTCCATAAACGAAGTGGGACTGATCTGCGAGGCGACCGTGGGTTAAACGGCCGGAATGATTGGAACTTGTGTGAAATATGAATAGTTTTGGTCATTTTCACCTGTCTCTGACCCTCACCCACCGCTGAATGTGTAGATTTCGTCACTGTTTCGTCAAATTTTCAGAATACATTGCCACAACGTTACGCATCTGCTGCACCATCACGCCTGTTGACATACTTAGATGCAAGTACCTATAGCTATGTACTGATGCATACATAACGCCTGCTTTTTAACGCATACATAATTGGTCGAATGGCCAGTCGATATCGCGCACCTTCAGTCCTAGGTCACCACAGTACACGCATGTCTGCCGTGGCAAGGGTCCTCTGAGACCCTGCCTGGCGAGGGAAGGGGGGAAACGCTATCTCTTCCCCGGCTTTTCCACGTAGCGCCACAATAAATGTTAGTGTGGCTAAGTTTAAGGAACAAACATATTCAGCGACGGTTGTCACGCCTGCAGTAGCATATTCTCCACCCGTGCCCAGGTTTGGAGAGGCCACGGAACGTGAGCTAACAACAGCATTTCAACATTTGCCACATGGGGTTAATGTCGATTTTCAAGAGAAAGGTGTCAGATGCCCGTGTCACTTGGCGTTGCTCCCCTACCCACCGGTGCCGTCCTTGGTGTCATCCCGACCCAGCCGACAGAGCAAGCCGGGCGATCGGCCCCCCACCGGGCACATGGGAGTGGCGTCACACTCGCAGACCTTTTGGCCGCGTGCTCGCTCCTGCAGCCGGCAGCAGGCGCACTGAGTTGCCCTGAGCGAGTGCTGCGGGCGCCGTACGTACCGGTAGTACTGGAAGCCCTGCGCCATATGCAGATCCATGGGCATATGCGAGTGCGGGTGCAGCGAGTGGTGGCTGCCCGGGAAGCTGTCTCCGGGCTGCATCATGGTGCGGTGTCAACGGCGACGACGGCGGCGGCGACGGCGGCGGCGACGGCGGCACGTTCAAGCTCAGGCCTCACTGGCGGCGCGCCGCTCTCCCCCACGCCATCTATCCCCAACTACAGCTAGCTGCGCGGCCGCCCGCGCCCATGCCGGCCGCCCGTCCGGCATTGACTTTCTACGGCCGGGCCATGCGGCCGCCGACCAATCAGCGGCCGCCGCGCCGGCCGGGGGCGGAGCTTCCAACACAGGTAGCCACTCACAGGTGCTAAAGGCCTTTCCAAAAACTAATATTGGAGGGTGATTGTGAAAAAATGAATGTAGCGGCGGCGGCGGCGGCGGCGGCCGGTAATGAGAGCGTGGCGCGGCGGGCCGCGGCGGCGCCGATGCTGGGCGGCGATAGGGAAGGCGGCCGAGCCGCGCGCCGACGCTCCACTCGTAACGAGACCGATGATGGATGATGCGTCGCGCGGCGGCCGGCAGCGGCCACGCCGCCGGCAGCAGGCGGCGTACCGACTAATGGTCAGAGTCATGACTGGTCCTACGGGCTATCTCCGAGCTTGGCTCTATCTCCGTCCGGTCCAGACGCCTGCCGAATGGTGAGCCGGTCAGGCGTCACTCGACGGCGGCTGCCAACGAAACGCTAGCCCTCGGCTGGAGAATGTCATCGACGCTGAGGAGACATGCGTCGCTAATGCGCCGCCGCCAGTAGAGGTGACGAGTCTGAAGCCGGCTGTGAGTTGTCCAGGCCTCTTCTGTCTCTGCATGACCACCACCCGGCCCCAAACGGGACGCAGCGCGCGGGCGCACCGGCAAAGCACGTGTTGCCGCCTTGGCATGTATTGGAGTGACGCTGTCTGACCGTCATTACAGGCTGCCTCCCTTCCGGCGCTGACATCACCATCCCAAGTGCGAGGCTACGCATACCTCAGGCGCTGTATTATAGGCAGTGAGCAAGCGCTGAAGCTATCCACGCGGCTAGCACTCTCAAACACCGTTAGAAATGACAAACACACTGGCTTTTAAATGTCGAGATGATTGTAGCTCAAAATAAATTATGAAATTATTGTAGCTCGTGCGCAGGAGCCGTTTGCAACATCTTTAGCAGGCATACCATTAGGCATGGTCTAAATGATTACCTCCCAGCGCGACATCCTGAGTGGAGCCATCTGACGTGCTGAGTGAAGCTTTCGATGGAATGTGAGTGGGGGAGTTTGGATAATGACGGAATAAGGGCAACACCGTTCACTCAGTTTCTCAGCGATTGGTGAACTCTTGGCAGAACCAGCGTGTAAATATGCATTCACAATGTTTTAAATCCCCAAATTGCTTATGCTCCGGTTACACAGCCTTGTGTAGCCGCGCTGATTAAAATGTGCTACCACGCTGTTCCGCTTCCCGGAAAGTTCATCTCATGCCACAAATGCGGGCATTTGTACTGCCTTACATCGCTTGCGTAATGGCGCATTAGGACAGTGCTCATGAACGTCGGGCTCACCAGTAACCAGTTCCATAACGAGAAGTTTCTACTTACTTCATGCCGGCCAAAGCAATTTCGGCGTAACTCCCTACATCCTACGCCAGGTTTCATAAGCCTGGCAGTACTTCTATGAAGTAAATCGTAAAATGCCAGGGATGAAATGATTTCAATTGCTATGCCGGCAATCGTTGCCATGGCAGCGATGTTGTCGCTTTGGACCCGAGAGGTTTGGACGCCTATAATAAATCCCGAAATACCGCTAAGGAGGCATAAAAGTGTGGTCATTTATGAGTTAAGTCCGTAATAATTTTGTGATTAACGTGCCGATTAGTTCTTAAACTAATTACGATCACTTTTTTATTCTCTGAAATGTAGATATCCTATATTCCTCGATCTTGTTCTGTTACTCGCAGAAGTAAACAAAGCTGCTTGCTTCGTGTGCTCATGTTCATACTCTGAGCCTCCATGCACCACGTGTAAAGACGATATGCACCTCAACGACAAAATTTCCCTGAAATAGCTGACTTTGTCCTTATCTTAACTTGTGCATTTTGTGAACTTAGATCTGTCCGTGCCGTAGCAAGAAAGAAAAACATGATCTCGTGAAATCCGCGACATGTGGGAAAGAGGTATGTTCTCTCACCGTCCGGCCAGCCTTACCCAGAAAACTTCTTAGCGTATGTGTGTAGTGTCTTCAATGTTACAATACGGACTGTAGTCGTATCGACTTTCGCACATGTACGTGATCGCACATGTACAAATCTACCCTACGTACTCATCCGCCCTTGATATGCTGACATCGCTTCACAGCTCAACAATTTCTCCTTTTAGGTTGATTCTCGGTCTAAATGTTCCGTTCCTCCGCTCCTGTCCGCCCATGCACCGGCTCCTCTATGATCACCACAGCTGATTTTGCAACGGGCCAGAGCATCTTTTTATTTTACTTCAGTTCGTAGCAACTGGCTTCTTCACGATCAAATCAGCTGCTCTGAGGAAACCCGATGGGTGCTTGGCGAAGTGGGGAGTGCCTGCTTACTTCAAATTTCCCCTTAAATTGTAGAACTTTGCGGGCGTAGGAGCATATAGTAACCTCTTACTTTATGCAATCTGATTCGAAGTAAAAGCATACGAAGTTACTGCTTACGCCAAAATTGCATGCCATTCTCTCTTTATGACACTGTTTACAGGTGATATCGTACAAGCTTCAATGGTAACCTATGGACGACATGTACATATACTGGTAGTTATAGTGTTGGTATTGGACGAGTTTAGCTCGCACCAGAAAGTACGAAAGCCAGCACACTCCGTACTGAACAGCACACGGACCAGCGCATTCCGTACCGGACGGCACGCGAGCCAGCGCGCTCCGTGTCGGACAGCAAGCAGACCAGCGTCCTCCGTCCCGGACAGCACTCGGACCATCGCACTCTGCACCGGGTAGCACGCAAACCAACGCACTCCGTACCGGACAGCACGCAAACCAACGCACTCCGTAGCGGACAGCACGCAAACCAACGCACTCCGTACCGGACAGCACGCAAACCAACGCACTCCGTACCGGACAGCACGCAAACCAACGCGCTCCGTACCGGACAGCACGCAAACCAACGCGCTCCGTACCGGACAGCACGCAGGAAGGTAACAGGGTAACGCTAACTGCGGTCTGATGCCAGTGCCGCCTCCTGCCAGACCCCTAATACATCCCGAATAGTAAGATAACAGGGTAACGCTAGCTGCAATCCGATGCCAGTGCCGCCTCCTGCCAGACCCCTAATACATCCCGAATAGTAAGATAACAGGGTAACGCTAGCTGCAATCCGATGCCAGTGCCGCCTCCTGCCAGACCCCTTATACATCCCGAAGAGCAAGGTAACAAGGTAACGCTAACCGCAGTCCGATAACAGTGCCGCCTCCTGCCAGACCCCTAATGCATCCCGTATAGTACGGTAACAGGGTAACGCTAGCTGCAATCCGATGCTAGTGCCGCCTCCTGCCAGACCCCTAATACATCCCGAATAGCAAGGTAACAGGGTAACGCTAGCTGCAATCAGATACCAGCGCCGCCTTCTGCCAGACCTCTAATGCATCCCGTATAGTACGGTAACAGGGTAACGCTAACTGCAGTCCGATAACAGTGCCGCCTCTTGCCAGACCCCTAATGCATCCCGTACAGGCTAACGCTTTCATAATGCCTCGGGTGTATTAATTACAGAAGCTGCTGGGGTCTAGACCCTCAGCAATTTTTGAGCGATCTGATGCATGCCTCGTTACCTCTCGTTCTTTGCCTCAAGTAGCGTTTGTTACAATAAACACTACTTCGCAACTCGACAGTCAAGCACTAGCAAATCAGGATGTGAGGAAGTCCACTGAAGGGTAAGGGTAAGACCACCTCAGACCGGTCGGGCCTTACTCTCTCACTTTTCAGGTTTTGCTTTTAGCTTTTTCGCACCGTTATCTGGTGATCTGAGACGAATTCTGGGATTTTTTGGCTCGATTTGACTTCCATTTCTTGGAACATAACGCCCTCAATTTGTTTAAGTTAGTCATGGGGTGGTATATTTAGCGACGGCTAAGACATCTGCTCTTTAAAATCGGCGCAAACATACAAAAACTTAGACCATTTGAAAACCCGTGGTTTGGAAGTTAGAACACAGTTTATGGACTTTGAATAAGAATTTACATTATGACCATACGAACTTGAAAAACGTGACCTGCCTTCACCTGATCACATTGCACTTTAAGGTGCGTGACAGCGTCGAAATTAAACTTAAGTGCTTTAGTTGTCATCTGTGAAAGTTAACCTATTTTGGGCGTTTGGGACATGTTTTATGTCACGCCAGAGCGAAAGACCGCCTATTCCCAGTGGACTCTTATTAGTTGCGATTATTAGCAGTGTAACATTGTTCTTTTTTATCATTTTAGATATGCTTTGCATCCTCATGTGTGCACCCATTCACCGCCAATGTTTCTGGTTTTCGTAAAACTTCATGTTGATGATACAACAATGCCTGGGTCTATTGATGTTGACGAATTAAGAGAGTGAGGGGACTTCGAGACGCTGGTTAGAGCGCCTGACTTCTGATTCACCCACCCGTAGCGGGGTGCGTTCGAGTTGCTTCGAACGTTCGTCACTTGCCCCTGACTAAGACGGCTTGCGGGCGGCTGCGACCACGATAATGTCCACGTGACGTCAGAGGGCCGGTCGGACCGTGCCGAGCATTGCGGCACGTGAGGCGTTCACCGCAAAATTCTGTCGTTAATCCGGCATTACATGACCTAATGGCTAGGTCAGGCCTCACGCAACAGCGCCCACGGCTCAGCGTGGGCGCCGATCCCATAAATCTAGGTAGTGAAATGGTTCAGACCGAATTTGGATGGCATATTAGAAAAAAGACAATATCCGTTCTCCTGACTCCATCTCTTCACATCGCTAAGTCCATGCATCAAGGGAGTAACCAAAAACAACATGGAAGTGCCACGGGCATGCATTGGACGTTGGTAGGTATGCATATATATTCAATGGGGGGTTCGTCGCATGCTGAATATTTCCGAAGCACAACACTTGTCGGACACAATTAAAAC